CCTGGGCTGGGCTGAGCTAGCCAAACGTATATCCTAATCCTCGAACGACAAGCCCATTCCGCCTACCTTCTGATTAGCTTGCACGCAGTCTCTCCGGCTTCAACGCCACTGTTCATAGGGAGGACTCTATCATACCTAATATGAATCCAACTGCACGCATGCACATCTCGAAAGATGTTCATCCTACCCGAAAAAGTCAGTTATGAACTTAGTGAACAACGCGAGTGTCTCGTTGTGGAAAGCGCGACTAGTCAGAGCCAGCTTTTGAGCCTGCTGGATGAGAGCAGCGACGATACGAGGATGGCAATGGCCTTGATTGACGGCTGAATACCTACGGCAAACTATATGAGTGATAATAATAGATGAATACACTGGAGCTGAGCGGAGATCCCAAGTCAAGGCCGATGTAAATTGTGATGACTACATTCAAGGTCAACTAATAGCTGTTATATATACATAAGTTCAGCAGCCTACGAAGGCGAATAATGTAAGAGATACAAAACAGCATCAAGTCAACACTTTTGAGTCGATGAACATTCCTACATATCATGTACTACTCGTCATAAAGGGGACTTTCAATCGAGCGAATAAACCGATTAGCTCACGCGGAGAGGAAGTCGAGATATCTCTTTCCTGTGACGTCCCAAACATAACATCCCTCGCCACGAGCTAAGACCACTGGAAGCGGGTGATAGTTGTGGGCTCCATGGACATCTTCCAACTTTATGTATCTGAGGAGGACAGCGACTATTACTAAGCTCAGGAACAGCACGTAGTGCCATAAAATCACATATTGAAGGAATCGATGACAAGAGAAAACCAGTGAGGCATGGCAAGACTATTGAGTTGATAATACTGCTATAGAATCGTTCTCATGATAACTGTATACGACGAGTCAGTGAGGATAGTCATAAGAAGAACTCCATGTTCCAATCTAACGAGATGGATGTGGAGGAAAGGCCACTCAGAGGACTAGAGTCTCACTCCTCGGGATCGTCAACCTTGGAAATGTAGGTCTTCTTGAGCTGGGTTAGGAAGGTATCTTCATCGGATGGGCTGAGTATCACAAGTCATAACCCTCTTGTGTAGGAAAAGCTCACTACTTCATGGTGACAATCGTTGGGAGTGCTACCGAGGATTAACGAAGAAAATTAACTGAAACGGAATACACTGGACCAGCAAGCCTCGGAAACTCAACACTCAGAGCGAAAATCTATTATAAACTGATTCGAAAGGAAATCTATTTCACAGAATTTCGCGCCCGCACTGGGAAGGATGCTCAAAATTGATTCGCATGGTCGGCACCAACATCAGATACAGGCTGAGGGGGGAGACATCATACCAATAAGAGCGGGCCGCGCCTTATAAGACTAAAGAGATGTAGGAAATCGTCATACTGCGCACTACGACAATCGACACAACAAATCTGCACGCATGCACAAAAGATATTATCTTGCACATATATTATCTACTGATGAGCTCCTCTATTCCGCTGATGAGTAAATATCCCCAGCTCCTACTATATATTGGTGCTATTTTGTATATCTAAGTTTCGAATCAATTGCTGTCGCGACCTTAGCAAGATCTGATGCCAATGAGCTCCCATCTCCACGAGCTCGTATTATTCAGTGAGCCAAAACACCACCACGAACCGACCAGACCATCTCTTCCCTCCCATCGTGTTGTATACTGATTTCATTCGGGATATGCCGTGACGAAATACTTATCAACACAAACATTCATTTTTCCCCCCAGCCAAGTTTTGCTTCCGATTGCTTCAAATTTATCAGTCCCGAAATGAATACGAACTACCAAATTTTTTATTATGAAACCTGAGATTTTACGCGAAGAAACTCAGGTCGCAAACAGTATTGGACTTTATGTTTGTTTCCCTCGTCCCAGGGATTCCCTCACAACTTTAGACATCCTCAGAACGGACAAAACAATTCTCTAATTGTTTAACTGCGTACTTGACCATCTCATATTGTGCCAACTCGAACAAAAATCACAAGCCGTTGAATGGAAAATCTCATATCGAGTGAATCGCATCACAAAAGCCAGTAAGGCCACTTCCTGCTTGCTAATTTTTTCGCCTTAGCTTGATGAATCTGTACACGGAACTTGAACCAGAAAAGCATAAAATCCTCCCGTTGTCCAAATCTATTCATCTGACAATATAATGAATATCTTAATAATATTCAATTAAAATCCTCTCACTGAAATGTGACAAGCAATAACCAAACTTTGCCGGAAAATACAGAAAGTTCTATCATATCACTCGCTTATGCTACACCCGTTCCGACCACACCATGAAAGAAAGTGAAAAAATATGATCAATGTACCATGGTCGTTCGAATTCATCCACAACTCCAGATGCGTATAAATTTAATGATTTGTATAATTGGAACAACCCTCTGGTGCGAAAAATCATCCAATATCATCAATATTCGTAAGCGATGAAAGGCGATTAGATAACAATGAACAACATCATCAACAACTCTATATCAATCGACGAAGTGAACGTTGCATAAATCAACGTTCACTCCAAGGACTAAGCAAAGACTCACAGAACAACAACTCGAAAAGAACAAGCTGGAACTCACAAAGCCGATATTTATCAGCGTCATGAACTCAACACAGGTTCAAGGAAGAATATCCCTTTTCTATCTCGTGCATCATCTACCATGCATAAATGCTAGCCTACAGCAGCATTTGAAACTAATTTAACCGAGTTGACACTATCAAGCACATACGATAAAAATAGCAGCACTGATAGCCACCTCGATTGAGCTTCATTTCTCAGAAATGACGTGTCCAGCATCTCAGCATTCCTCTGGACCATACAAACTGACGATAAACCTAGACGATAGTAGAGACAATTTCTTGGGTGATAAATCTTTATTATAAACACGAGACGAAACCTCCCTTCGGCTTCTATCTCCTTCAACCAAGTACCATACGGGATACACTTCGAAACCTGACAAAACAACACGATAAATCACAAGCGAACATCAACGACACTTGGCAAAATATACGATATGCGTCGCTACCACAAGACCGACCAATGACACTGCCAGACACTCGGGAAAGGCAAACCTCTTACTTCGAAAGTTGGAACTTCTTCTTCACAGCCCTGAGCTGCGTCCCCGAGTGATCCTCGTTGGTAGTTGCTTGCAGTAATGCACATAATTCCTTCGCCACAGCTTTCACCTCTTGCTCAGTGTTCGGGCAGTGCACAGCCACATGTGGTGGCCATGCTGCCGGCTTTCTGATTAGTTTGTTGGATAAATACAAAGCGCCCGCCGCCAGTTGACTTGCAGAATATTTCAGCATACTATACCTGCACAAAACCAGAAACTACTAGACCAACAAAATTGCGGCGAGGAGGATTATGAACTCGACGAGTACATTTAACACGTCAAGATTAATCTGATTACGCGACAGGGTGAACTGACTTACTCTGGAAGGGCGAGTTCTAGACAATACTGTGCCAAGAAAAAGTGTTTCTCATCACTCTCCATGACCTTGGCGTACCGAAGTAGGAAGAACATTGCTGATGGTGTTGTCAGGCAAAACCTGATAGAAAACACTACTTCATCGCAGACTGACATCCACTCACCCGAGCGCGTTAAGGATGTCCACTTCCATTTGCATGACTTCATGACGTTGATAAGTTCTGTCGCATATACTGACAATGTCCTTCATTTCAGGAGCATATATATCCTCATACCTGCCAAAACACACACCATAATCACATAAACGAGGACCGCCCGAGGGCGTACTTCGAGGCAATCAACAAACAGGTCACACCAACTAGCTGTAACCGTGTACGTGGAAGATTGGGACATTGCTCAAGATAACGATCAATCAAATTGACCTGAAAATAGATCAGCATATTGCACTTGCAGTCAACATCGACAAATACCGTCAAGTAGAGCGTCTCTGGAACCAACTTGAACTTCCAATGAACCTCAACCAACCAGTCGATCAGAACAGCGCGCATCCTCTCGGTGATATCGGACTGAGTTCTACCCATGTAATTCCAAGACTGCCGATATCTGAACAAAAACACCAGTAACACACCGCAAGCGGATCAAACGTCTCTCACTTCTGTTCAATGCTGTTCATGTTGACAAAGATAGAATTAACGTATTCCGCCACGAACTGAGGGTTGTTGAGATCCTAAAAGTCAACCGTAGGAATATCTGAAGCAAATTGACCTTACTTGACGATCCTCAGGCGGAATGGTGTCCTTCCAGTCGACCAACTGCTGGAGCTCCAATCTCGCCGGCGTGGTCCCCTGCATGATGGTGTCATCAAGGTCCTCAAGCTTGCTTGCAGACAACCGAGCCGCCGCAGCCTTGCTCCGCGTCACCATACCTGACAATCAGATGCATAACCACTACACATGAGCACAAGCTCTACCAGTTTGAGCAGACATCACATTAACCGTGTTGCTGATGTCCATGAACGCTCCCCTCTTCCGAGACTCCATCACGACATGACCACCCTTCCCCGTAAGGGCGTTCTCAGAGAGCTGAGCTTGCTGAGCACGGTTGCTAGAGAGCATTGTGGAGAACTTACAATCGTCAAGCTGGTGATGAATGACAACGATAACCGCGTGCGCCCCACCAGAAACGCCTCGTTTCGTGCAAAATGCATGCAGGAATCCTCCCGGCGCATTTTGAAACGGCTGCCCTCAAAGCCGCGGGGTTTGGCAGGCCTGGGATTAATAAACAGCATGGCCTCAGGGAACACATAGACCCGCCTTGGCACTGTTATACGGTCACTTACAAAATAGTCTTCCTGGTAGAAGCATACGGACTAAGACCGCGAGGATGGAGGGTGGTGCAGAAGAAGTCGGTCGAAGCCTCAGAGCAGGAATGCGTGATAACTAAATCATGTATTGCTCGTTGTTGAGGACCGTTTCAATTCAAGGCAGCACACAAGCTTGTCTCTGTTAGCTTTACTGTACAAGGCCAGTAACGATCGCCTCTAATCTACGTGTATATTTCTACTTCTTAAGGGGAATTATCACTCGCAATGTGAAGACTATTACCCTCAAGTCCATGATGGAACTCTACTAAAGATATCTCATCATTTTTGACTTTCTGGTGTTCACGTTGAAACCATGTGTGTGTGAATGTTCTTATTCTTAGTACGACTGATTCCGCAACAAACCGCAATTATGTACTGCGGAGTGGGTGACCGCAAGAGGAATCCTCTATAGCTGATGCTTCTGAGTGCCCAGCTGTTCAGCACGCTTGTCACAAGCTTTTGAGAAACTTTCCGTTTTAACCGCGTTCAGCAATTAGGTCGCAGACAGCGCAGTTGATATGAACGAACTCTGTAGCTCGAGGACCATCGTTGCTAATTAATTTTACTCTGGTAAATACGAATTCAAACGCATAAACGATCGAGCATATGCTAAGGTTTCTCAGCGGAACTTCGGAATTTTCTCACTATTTATTAAAAATACGAGAATTTCTGAAAATTTTCCGGAATGCACAAGAAAGATGTGCTCATTATCCCACATATATAGCACAGTGAACGGAACCGGTGAAACTAGCCAAAAAGTCTGTGTATTCGCAAAATTGAGCACGACTGTCTGCAAAGTCGCAAGCCGACCGGTTAAAGCCTCATCGTCGAGAATTATATACTTCTGAATTTCAGAAGTATTTTTTCCAGAATCTGAAAAAGAACTTTGAATGTCTTCAGAAGATCCACAAAGTATATGCCTCCTTCACCAAACCAACCCCAGAACCGATTTGTGTTACGAAACGATCAATTTGAGTGCAAAGACTACCTACCCATACAGCGGTAAACCGAACCCCATATCACCCTGGCTCGTGTCCAATGTCACGACATCGCGCAATCACAAGTAAAATCGATTAGCTCGGCGCGCGCACTTGCTCCTCGAGACTTGGCGCCTAGCCGTTTTTCATGATATCGTCTCGTGAGCGTTTATCGTCTTGTATCAGCATCGAATTTGTTAAGGTCATGGCTGATCAACTCACTGAAGAGCAAATCGCCGAATTCAAAGAAGCATTCTCACTTTTTGATAAGGACGGCGATGGAACGATTACCACTAAGGAGCTTGGCACTGTTATGCGGTAACTTACCTTTCACATTTCTGAGATTTGTATTACTATTCATCTCATTTCAGATCCCTAGGACAGAACCCAACAGAGGCCGAGCTGCAGGACATGATCAACGAAGTGGATGCTGATGGCAATGGTGAGGCTTCCCGGGAGGTTGCGTGCCGGAGACGTGATTTTTGGCAGGTACCATCGACTTTCCGGAGTTCCTTTCGCTGATGGCTCGAAAGATGAAGGATACCGACACCGAAGAGGAGCTCATTGAAGCCTTTAAGGTAACTTTCACGAAGATTCCGCGGAAAATTTGCTTTCGCTGAGAATGATTTTCGTGATTGCTCAAGTTTAGGTGTTCGATCGCGACGGAAATGGATTCATCTCTGCTGCTGAGCTCCGTCATGTTATGACCAATCTTGGCGAGAAACTCACCGACGAGGAGGTAATTTCTCAAATCCCTCACTTGTGTGTTGGCATCGCTTTCTCGATAGGTCGATGAGATGATTCGTGAGGCTGATGTTGACGGAGATGGACAGATTAATTACGAGGAGTTTGTGTGAGTTTTCAAGTATTTGGTCTGCTCTCGGACGACTTGTGCATTTTCTCAGTCGTATGATGATGGCCAAGTAAAGCGCAAGCAGTGCGATTACATCAACGGTTGTTTATACTTTGTGTACCACTGCTATCTGTCTTATGCGTGAATATATCTTAAGATCCGAGTTGGGATCAGTGTGAATACCGTGGTCAATTTGAGGCGCTGTGATTGTGACTAATTGATGCCGATCAAAGATAATAGTGAATAGAACAAACGGAACGCCTCTATCTGAAATTGCCCTCAATAAGGAGGATATGTTTCCCAGTGCATCGGGTGCGACCAGATCGTTGAAAGCAACGCGAACAGCCGAATGCGTTATACCATCGTCTCCCATGATGACGTCCATTTAACTCACCGTAATCCCAGGAAATGACAGGATATTGACGTTAGGGGGAAATTTTATCCAGGTTTGAATGAGTTCCAGATTGACTTATTGTAGACATCATTGTAAGGATCATCCTGTCAGTGCTTTTTCATCAGGCACGCCTCGAGTGCCGTAATGTACATGCACTTGTTCTGGTAGAATGAATTATAACTGCTATTTTGATTGACGTCGCGTTGAACTGGTCAATACAAGAAACGAATAACACCCAATCCAGCACCACATCCAGGATGGTTCCCGTTCGCATCCACTGGATGGCGTTCTCTGTCAATTTCAATGAATCGCGTTGTGTATTGATAGAATAACATCCCATTGCACCGTAGCGCCGATGTTCAGTATGCACTACAGTGGTCACTCATAACTCAACTCATAATGTCACCAAGTCGAAACGACCTAACCTTGTCTGTGTGTTGAGTCAAACGCCGACAATACAGTTTTGTTAGACTCGCATCGACGCACACTAGAAGTTCATTTGAATTGGCTTGATCATTTCTACCCCGTTTATAACGTCCTTGTAGTGAATACGCCACTCCTGAATACGAATAGTCTTCTCGACATTTTCAATCCCGAATTTCAAAAATGCAATAACAAATAGAAAAAAATTGGTTTCATAGGACGAGTTTCCCAATTCTAAAATATGATTTCCGTACATCGCTCGAAAACAAAAACTCAAATTCGTTCATCCATTTTATGAGTTCCAAAACACAAGTTCAAATCCACCACACACAAAAGACTAATTTCGACCAACGAGATTTTCCAAGAAGGAGAGTTCGATGCGATGGATACTCCTAAACTCAACACGTTGTTGTGTTTCCAAACCGATTCCTTCAGGCCGCCTGCCATCTGAGACCGACTTACTGTCATATAATAGACACAGAATAGAGAAAGTAAGCAGGCGAAAATCTTCACTTTCATACGTACGTTTGTGTTGTTGTTTTTATCAAAGGCTCTACAACAACGGTTCCAGCAGAACAATGAAGACAAGAATAACAGACACAATTGTTCGATTACGAGACTCGTAGTAGCGACTGAATCTACTGATCGTTCTTGCGACGATTCTTATATTTTCTCCTCTGTGCGCTGCTGGGTTCGGGATCTGCATTGGGCAAGCTCGATGCAGAATGTGAACTCGCTCTCCACACGGTGAACCAGTCAACATCCTTAGCAGGAGGAAGTGGCATTGAGGCTCCCTAAGGAAAGATACAAAGTAGGTATGCAACTGGACACCACAACGAAAAGGAACTCTCCCATACTAGTGTTTCGATCAGTCGCACGGTTGAATGCCTTGTCCGTCAATGAGCGAAACTTGCCCAATGAGGGAAAATGTGGTTGAAATTTTACCGTGAAATTCGACTATTTTTTGTAGCGCTCTGCGGACTTCTACTTGTATGTAAACTTCTATAATTGAGGAAGCGGAAGATTTATTCCTACACTGAACTTACCGTTCGCGTGCTCTGACGTCCGCCTGGTACGCGATTGACTGAAAACATCACATGAAGAAGAGCAGGGTAGATATCAACAACGTATTGGTATATTTTATAGAAGGGGAATATGATACTTGCAGTGAACCAATCTGAGCACAAGAGCGAGCATGCGCGACAACCCGGGTTCGAAACCTGGCAGAGGCTTCTTACTCCATTGGCGACGGACATCTCGACGGTTTCGGAGTGTAATAGCCATCAGGGCGACCGAAATACCATGGAAAATAACGAAGTATATCCCGAAATATACGCCTATAAGAGCCGGTTGTCGAACGAATATAGATACCAGTAAAAACGGCCTAACAGGAAAAACAGTTGTCTCTCATCCGAGAGATACCAAGTTCGAACCCTCCTCACCTCAATATTATCACAATAGTTGGAACAACGTCCGCTATGAACGACCAAATTCGACCAACGAGAGCCTCTCGAGAACAGCAACCCTTCAGCCGAATAGTAGGGACGAAAGCGACAACAAACATACGCAACCGAAAATACCACCGTCCACACTCCGAAGCGAAATTGCTACTCCCGGTATCAGTACGGATCTGAAAAAATGCCACGCATAAAAAGTGACCGTTTGGAAACTAGAAAGTAATTAACACGTTGTCAACTATGCGTGTTGAATAGAATGATAAGATTGTGGAAGGATTCCTGCTGAATACCAGCACCACACCAGAAGTAATGCTCACCTGACTGCCTCCCATACAAGTTTCGAAATCATGTCTCAAGTACTGCTCCATCATCAACGATGGCTGCAATAAACCAGGAGAATGGGTATCCTGAGGTAATCATCATCAAATTCTGTCACGCGCCACGAAATTATCCCAGCTCACATTGACTCCCACAAATCCTGCGAGGGTTTTGTGAAGGGCCGCCCGATCCCACAGAGACACTGCCTTCAACGGAGTTACAACACACGATCCACCCAGCTTCTCTTGAGTAAAAGACATTCTGAAATCGATCAATCGGGCGAGCGCGTTTCGCAACAACCCTTCTCCCAACCTACATTGCCCTTTGCTTGACTATATAATCACGTAGTGTTACTGACGGCATGTTGCTGACGCCCCGCACCGTAGGCATATACCACACCACTTTGGTGCCTTCTCGACGATACTTCTACACAAAAGGAAAAAAAGGAATTCGGAAACTACTCTCGAGCTGTCTAACAATTCTTCCACGATATAAAACATCCTTTGTTATTCGCTAATCATCCGAACTTCCTCAAGAAACGAATACTCTTCTCCTGTCCATGTGCAAGTGTAAGCAACGACCATTTCGGTAGTCAACTCCATGCAACAGTGATTCCTCCGATACCACAACATCCTATATTCGTGCGGAGCATCACACGACCGCAAATCCAAAAATATATTCCCTTTGAAAACCAATGTTTGAACTAATGTTCGCTATCCTCAGCTTAGCTCAGGAGTTCCCTCACTGATTCCAGTAGTTTCCATACGAATTAGAATAGCAGTGTTGAGAAACCAATAAGAACTTGTCACCGACACATGTAGTTGACCATGTGCATATTTCCCCACACTGGAGCTCCACATGAAGTGGCGTAATACTCTGTGAAAAACGCGATACTCACGAGTATATACAGTAGTCGTGTTTTCACTAGTGTTTTTCACATCACGAGTGAAACTCCATAGCATTGAACCCCTCAAATTCTTCTTAAATTCAACTCCCCCCCAAAAAGGACCAACCTGAGTGTTGAGGTCCAAGGCCACAGGCAGCATCATATCATCGTCAGAATCAGCGTCCGTAATCAAAAGGGCATATCGGAATCTAAATCACAAGACGATCATCCAAATCGATCACCTGATCGATTTCTACGCTGAGTTTCGATTCTCCTGCGGATTCGCCCACCGCAAAACCGAGGGAATCCACGACTTGTTCGCCCAGTAAATCGCCATGGCCTTGTTATCCTCGGGAAGGTAGGCGTAATTCACGTCTGGAGAGACGAAGTCCTAAAGCGTTGAGGAATTGCAAGATTGACCAAGATTGCAAGATTTCTACCTGAATCATCTTGCAGCAGTCATCTGCAGGTGATAACCCTTCGCCAACCTCCACTACGAATATTGGACTGCAACCATGGACTTTCGGGGGGAGCAACGTTGTGCATCTGCACGCATGCACAAAAGATACCCTCTTCTGGACCTCAAGATACCCTCAGCGCACCGCGAAGATTTTCTCTCACCTCCTGAGTATCTTTCGCACTCGACCGCGCTTCACAGGATCCGTACAGCATCCACTGCGCATCGCAACGATCACACAAACGTCTGTAACCAATTCGCCACTCTGTTCATTCCCCTCCCCCAAAACGCCCATCGGCACGCCACCAGCAACAGCAGCATTTACGCTCTCAGAAACACTACGTCCTTCCCGACCCTTCCTCGACACTGGAAGAGGTGGCCAACTACAAAGGCGGCGTTGAGGAAATGCAAGATTGCAAGATTTCCCTTACCATGAGCTCAGCAGGGCTGGCAAGAAGGCTAGAATAGTGAGGATGAGACCATCGAGAAGAACAAGCCAGTCGATGACCGCTACCGCAGGCACCGATTCTGAAATAGCATAAGCGTGGTATGATCATAGTAATTGAAGGGAACCCGCCGGGTTCGAGTCCCACGACTGTCATTTTAATTGATTCCCAGACCGTGTCACTAAATCCTCCTCCGCAGGCTACAATAGTGACGATAACTAATGATTCAATGAACTCTACTATCACTAAGCACACTGAACCTCAAGCGGACCTCAATTGTATCTTGCACAGTCAACCTCAAGATACGCTGTATACCTCCATCAGCTCCGTTCCTTATATAATCCCATAGGTCCAACTTTCCAGAATTCGGATAAACTTGATCGGGAAAGACTGCGACAACCAGAAGGCAACAGAGAAACAATAGAAGCCACGATCTGAGGAAAAATGACCGATGCTAGATTCGATCCAGGGACCTCTCGATAGACAAACCACCGCTCCACCAACTCACAAAATGAGAGTTAATGCCCAATAAAATACACCTCTCCTCAATGCGGTCTTCGCTCGATATTGTATCTCCAGCAACGCCACCGACACTCTAGCTCGCCACTCCTTGCTTTGGAAGCGAGCATAGGGATGAATCGGATTACCTGATAGTAACATATAGTGTTCTCGTCGGGAAATAATTTTGAATTTCCCACTTGGGTAGGAGAACGTTCTTCAATCAGTTTTCCATGTGGATATCATCACTCTAGAAACACCATTTTCCCCATCGAAATTTTACCCGGAATATGAAAAAAAACACTAGCGAGAAATTAATATATTCCACGACTACTGCATATTACCGCGAACATCGCATATAGAGTACTACTAAAATGTTATCAAGCCCTAAGGAACACTATTTCTCCCATGTTCTCACCCTCCTCATCCACCGTCTTCACCAAACCACCAGCAAGGTCCTGCAGATTCCCATGCTCGAACGCCATGTGAACATTACTCCGCAAACCCGAGGGCGAATCCACGTCGACCGAGAACACAGACTGTGGTGATTTCACAGAATCAGTATCGCTGTGTTGTTCTTCAGCCTGATGAACAAATATGCGTTGAGGAAATGCAAGATTGCAAGATTTTGCCACTCACTTGCTTCTCAAGCAATCGTCTATGTTCTCGATTCGCCTGCTCCGTCCAGCTGGCCTGTACTCGCCGACGGTACGCTGCGTGAATCTGATATTAAAATTGATAACTTAAAATTTAACGAGGAGTATACCAGTGTGGGGGGAAAATATGTATATGGTCAAGTACATATGTTGGTGACAATATGAAAATTTTGAGAAAATTTTTTCCTCATTTTCACACACTTCCACCCGAATTGCTATGTGAACTCGTATAGTTAGTGCAGTGTTGGAAAATATTAACATGGTCGACCACACATGTTGGTGACAATACGAAAATTTTGAGGAAATTTTGGGCAATTCTGCTTGGTTTTTGTACACTTCAATCCGAATCCGCATAAAACTTCCATATAAGTGAGGAGATTTCGGGGGTCAGTTGAGGAAATTCAACATATTTTCCAACACTGATTTAGTGAGAAAGATTCTAAGATCAGCTGAAAAAGCAAACATATATTCCAACGCTGAGTACAGCAATCTACTTATGATCTTTCCATCAGCTCTCTACGTTACAATGGAATTTCACCCGTGAGATGAAAAACACTAGTGAAAAATATATT